ATGAAGGCCTCCTCCTCATCCTGCATAGTCCCAGGCATGATCACTGAGGTGTCCTGACCAGACACGTGGTGGGGTTAGGGAGCGGGCACCCCAAGTTCACATCCGGGCCTCAGATCCCTGAGTCTAGCTTTCCTTCCCTGCCAGGTGATACCTGACAGGGTCACAGGAAGAGCCGTATATATATAAAACCCCAGCAAGGGACGTATGACCCAAAGCATCACTGATACTACTTCTCCCTGCCAGCACTGGGATGGGGCCAAGCTGATTCCCAGGCCAGCTGCTTGGGAACCACCAGCAGAGGAGACAACAGTAAAGGGCACTGGGCCCGGCAGAGCAAGACTGAGGGAGGCGGGCAGCCTTGAAGTTGCAGACTTGAAACCAGACAGTCTACAACTCAGCCCAGTCCTGCCTGGTAACCTCTCTCCGCCCAGTGGGCGTAATTGCCACCACTGGCTCTTTGCAAGGATTCATGGCACTTCCAGGGCCTCCTCTGCCTGCCCTTTGCTGGGTGACCACGGAGAGATAGTGGAGGCCACAGGGAAAGCATGTGACTGTGGCTCCCTGATAACTCAGGGCCTGAGGCCGTGAGCTGTTGAGGCTGTGAGCTGTTGGCCAAAGGGCACACCATGGTGGGGCCAAGGGCAGGAGGCCCAGTTCTCCCACACTCCCAACCTTCGTGCCTATTTCTGTTACCCTGTTTTGCCAGCTCTACTGATTGGTGCCTTTTTAGCACTTACTAAATGATTCCCAAGTTACAGGTTACTTTTGGTGAGCTACTTGGTTCTCAATGGGGTTGCCTGTGAATTGCAGGGCCTTTAGCATCTCCAGCCCACTGCTCACCTAATGCCAACAGCATCCCCATCACCCACTAGAATAAACGTGTGGGGGAGGGCGGGGATTCTGTCCATTCACTGCAGTATCTCCAGAGTCTAGAACAGTACCTGGCTCATATAGCACATCCCTTCAGAAAGCATTCAAACACTTCCAGTTGAAAACCCCAGTTTCAGTTATACCTTCAACATCGTCCCTGATGGATGGTAGGAACTCCTGGTCTAAGTACTTTTCTTTATCAGAAATTGATTACTGTCAAGGGTAATCCTTTGTAGGCTTGTTATTAAAAAGAAAATCCATCCTCACTCTTGGACCTTGGCCCATTGGTTAACATGTCCTGTGAATTCTGACACCCAGAATGGAGCTGGCCCCTTTTGTGGCCTGACCCTGTGAGGAATAATGGGTTTGTACCTCTCTGCCCTGCATAGACCTGGAGATGACACAATCTTTGCTTTGACTTTTCTTTTTCTTTTTTTTTGAGTCGGAGTCTCACTCCATCACCCAGGCTGGAGTGCAGTGGCATACTCCCGGCAATCCCAGCATCAACCTGCTGGCTCTGGCGATCCTTCCGCCTCAGCCTTCCAAGTAGCTGGAACCACAGGCATGCGCTACCACATCCAGCTAATTTTTTTTATTTATTGTAGAGATGAGGTCTCATCAAGTTGCCAGGCTGGTCTCGGATCTGTGGGCTCAGGCAATCTACTCGCCTCAGCCTCCCAAAATGCTGGGATTACAAGGTGAGCCACTGAGACCGGCCTGCTTTGACTTTTCTTTTAGCAGTCACCCTTACAACTGTTGATTCATAATCAGCTAAAACCCAAGGATTTTTCCCTTTAGGAGAGAGAAAGGATGTGTACCAGTCTTTTCCTATCCAAAGTGTAAGGTTTGAAAAAAAAAATGTTTTTGAGTCAGAGCCTCACTCTGTCACCCAGGCTGGAGTGCAGTGGCATGATCATAACTCACCACAGTCTCAACCTCCTGAACTCATGCAATTCTTCCACCTCAGCTTCCCAAGTAGCTGGGACTACAGGTGCATGCCACCAAGCCCAGCTAATTTTTTTGTTTTTGTGATTTTTTTTTTTTTTTTTGGTAGAGATAAGGTCTTACTATGTTGCCTAGGTTGGTCTTAAACTCCTGGGCTTAAGCAGTCCTCGTGCCTCAGCCTCCCCAAGTGCTGGGATTACAGATGTAAGCCACCACGCCCAGACAAGACTTGAAAATTTAAAAGGACACTCCTGTGTTGTTCATTTTGGCTCCTGTTTCCAGCCCAGATGATTTAAATCTCAATGCTGCCATTGCCATGTATTAGCCATCTTCCCATCTCACCCTTAACCCCAATTTTGCATCCTCCGCCCGTTGGATTGGCAAACTGTCTCTGTCCTCACTGTGCTGTTGATTAAAGTATGGAAGAGGCCAAGCCTTAGGCAAGATAACGGAGACCTCTGTCAGGGCTGATAATGATCATTACCTCCTGGGGTAGTTTCTCTGCCTTTGAATGGACCCAATTAATCCTAGCTCCACCCCACATTCTCTATCCTTTCTTTAAGCCCTCTCTGTTAGCTAGCTGCCTTGCTGATATCTAGACTGACTGCATTCCACACAACTTGAAGACTGTGCAAACCCTTTGGAAAAGGAGATGCGCTTAGCTGAGCATGGCCTGTGCTTGGCGATACTGTGCTGGCCTCCAGTGCCCACCATTTCATCTTTGGAATGTTCCAAACATTTTCCTTGCCCCATGGAGAAACTTTACAAGAGTTCAGGTTTGTTTTCTGAGTTTCCAGAATCCAGCCTTTCCTTTGTGTGAAAGTAGGGATGGCTTGTCTTCCAACATCTTTCCTGTTCCCCACGATTCCATGCAGATGAGCAGAGGTTCTGTGTCGTCTTTGGTCAGTGATTCAGTTCCCGTTTCAAGGTGTTCCTGTACGCTCTTTTCATCTGCTTTAAGCTGTCCCTTGGAAGATCAATGTTGGAGATAACAAAGGAGGAAGCCACAGGAGGGCTGAGTGGCTTGCTTTCTCTGCCATCTGTTTAACATTAACTCACAGGGCCCTGGAACGTCCTCATTCTCTTGCTGCAACCATAGATTTGAATTTGTTCAAAAACCCATGGGATGCTCCCTAGTATTTGGTTTTATCTCTCCTGTTTGCCTGTTAGTATCCTGACGTCCTCTGGTTACTTTGAGCAGCCTGGCCAGCTAGGCGGTGAGCCCTCCGAGGGCAGAGCCCACCTTGGCCAGAGTTTGATGTGACCATTCACACTTTCCACTTTGATGCAGGGCAGTGAGCGGTGTGGTTTGATGCTCTGTCAGACAAGCATATCATCATGGAAAATTCTTTAGGAGCGCAGATCCATTTACACAGATCCGCTGCTGCTTTTGCAAACTCTGCATTCCTTCAGAGCAACCCACCCTTTTCCCCTTCTCTCCCACCAAACCTCAGTCATGCCTTGGGTGGATTAGAAATAAGGATTTTTGTTTCTGTCCCTTGCTTCTTGTCTCTTCTCCCTCGGTCCTTGACGTGATTTTTATAGGGAATTTGGCCGAATGCTTAGTTTCCAGTCTCAGTGGCCCTTCTCAAGGCCCTCCTTGGGAACAGGACTTGAACCCCTGATTTGGTTGGGATAAATGATGGACAGAGGCTAGGCTCAGTGGCTCAGCCTGTAATCCCGTGCTTTGGGAGGCTGAAGTGAGTGAATTGCCTGAGCCCGTGGGTTCGAAACCCGCCTGGGCAATTTGGCGAGACCTCATCTCTACAATAAATCAATGGTGGACAGAGTCAAGATCTAGTCAGATGGAAACAGGTTTGACAACTATCAGTATTGTGGGAGCAGATGAGCCCACCCCCATCCCTGTGGACATCCCTAGGTGATCTCTCACCTGCTATCCACAGTTGTTGCAAGCTCTGTGGGGACTGATAGCACAGTTTTGGTTTTTATTTTTTTGTTTGTTTGTTTTTTGAGTTGGAGTCTCACTCTGTCACCCAGACTGGAGTGCAGTGGCCGCTCCCGGCCACTGCAATCTCGACCTGCTGGGCTCCGGCGATCCTTCCGCCTCAGCCTTCCAAGTAGCTGGAACTACAGGTGCGCGCTACCACGCCCGGCTAATTTTTGATTTATTGTAGAGATGAGGTCTCGCCAAGTTGCCCAGGTGGGTCTCGAACCCTCAGGCTCGGGCAATCCACTCATCTCCGCCTCCCAAAGTGCTGGGATTACCGAGCCTGGCCGATAGCACAGTTTTGAGTCCTCTGAAATATATTCATCACCTTCTGATCTGTTCCTTCCCAGGCAATTGCTCAGGACAAAAAAAGATACGGAGACAGAGAAGGGAAGGAAATTGGAGTCACCTGTAGAGAGGGAGGGTTAGAGTTCTAGGTATGGGGGACAGGAGGACCTGCTGATTTGCATGCTTTCTGAGGCAGGCCAGGAGGGCACTGCGCTGACCTCAGCAGGTATCCTACAGTGGCTAGAGAGTGTATGAGGGTTGCTTTCAGGACAACCCTGAACAGGATTTGACCTCCACAGGTGGAACACTCTTTCTGGAGGGCTGCGTGGAGCACAAGCCACTGCCTGTGGGTCTCCATCACATCTACTTTTTTGAAAGAATAGTCTAATGCAGCGGTTCTCAAAGTGTGGTTCCTGGACTGGTGGCATCAGCATCACTGGGTAACATTGGCCGAATGCTTAGTTTCCAGTCTCAGTGGCCCTTCTTGAGGAACAGGACTTGAACCCCTGATTTGGTTGGGATAAATGGCGGACAGAGGCCGGGCTCGGTGGCTCAGCCTGTAATCCCGCGCTTTGGGAGGCTGAGGAATGCCAAAACCCGGGCTTACTGAATCAGACACTCTGGGGATGGGGCCAGAGTGTCTAACAAACTCTCCAGGCAATTCTGGTGCTTGCCAGTAAGTTGGAGAAACACTGGCTCAGTGAAAGAATGAACTTTGGAGCCAGTTGCCTGGGTTCATATCTTTATCAGCTGTGTAACCTTGGGCAAATCACAGACCCTCTCTGATCCTATATACAGTATTTCATCTACAAAATGGAGACATTAACTGCCACCTTATTATTGTGATGATTACATGAGAATACTTGTAAGGAGTTTAATACAGTGCTGTCACTCAGAAAGTGTAAACATGGCCTGACTCTGAACTTTATTGTCCTCCTGCTCTCCTTAGGTAGTATCTGATGCTGCAGGACAGGGTGTGGCCATCACAGGGAACCAGACCTTCAACAACTGGAACTGGCCCAATGCAATGATTTTTGCAGCCACGGTCATCACCACCATTGGTAAGTCATCTGGAACCTTCAGGATACCCACTTCCATGCCCTAGCTTCTCAGAACCTTATGTGGGGGTAAAATCAGGCCAGTTGCAGTCTGTCCTTCTGACACTTTCTTGGGGATTTAGTAAGTCCTTTGTGACTGGCCATGCCTGGGAAGCTGTTTCCATGAGGGCTGGCCTGGTCTCTTGGAGCAGAAACAGTGACATAGCAAGATAGCCAGAGTCATGCAGAAGATTGGCCAGGTTACTCACTGCATAAACCCAGATCGTGGCTACTCACCAAGCTCAGTGTCTGTTCCATTTCTCGCTGGCAGAATAGCCAACCAGCTCAGAAGTGAGTGGCTCAAAACACAACTTCTGGGCCAGGCGTTGTGGCTCGCTCCTGTAATCCCAGCACTTTGGGAGACAGAAGTGAGAGGATTGCCTGAGTTCAAGGGTTTAAGACCAGTCTGGGCAACTTGACAAGACCTCGTCTCTACAATAAATCAAAAAATTAGCTGGGCGTGGTGGCGCGCGCCTGTCGTTCCAGCTACTTGGAAGGCTGAGGCAGAAGGATTGCCTGAGCCCAGTGGGCCAAGGCTGCGGTGGCTGTGAGTATGCCACTGCACTCCAGCCTGGGCAACAGAGTGAGACTGACTAAAAAAAAAAAAACCCCATACCCTTCTTATCTTTCACCATTCTGTGAGCTGGCTGGGCTCCGCTGACCAGCTCTTGCTTGGGCAATCCAGTGTGGTGGCCATCAAACCATGGCTGGGCCGGAGTCATCTGCTCCTCCCATCACAGGTTTGACTACTCGCTGTTGGCTGGGAGCTCAACTGGGGATGTGCAGTGCGGCAACCTCAAATCTGAGAAGGCTTGCACATAATGTTTACCTATTCCGAAGAAGTCACCCTGAGGTCCAGCAGGGAAAGACATTGGTTTCTTCTTACGGGAGGCACCAATGACAGCAGGTCGGTGAAGAAGCCACAAAAATCCAGCAGGAAACTGCAAGAATCTGCAAGAAACTGCAAGAATCTGCAAGAAACTGCGCTTCAGGGCAGTACAGCAAACAGTTTTATAGGCAAGCAAGTCAATTAGTCAAATTTCTATTCAGTGTTTACAATTAGGTCGATTAAGAGTGATAACTACTTTGCTTTCAGCTTGGCTCGGTCACCTGCATCCCATGGCTCATTATTGGGAATATGCATACCCTTCAGATACCAGTCTTGGCCAGAGGCCATTCCTGGGGGAGGGGGAGACAGTCCGTGTCTGGACTATAACCCACAGGATGAAAACACAAGGCCTCCACGTGTGCTTGGGAATCAAGAGGAAAAGCAGCCAGCTTCTTAGACCTAGCCTGCCCAGCGTTCACTTCCGCTGCCTAGACAGCTTCTGTGGTCAAGCTAGGTACTAAAGCCCAGATTCAAAGGGAGGAGGATCGATTAGACTCTGCCTTGATGTGAATTTGCATAAAAGGAGACTATCTAGTAGTGTCTCAGGGGCATCTACACAGAGAGGGCATCTTTTCTAATTTGCACAAAATTACCATATGGACTAGTGGAAGACCTACTGACTGGGCTCAGTCGCTGCTCTCAGGGAGCTCCTGTGTGATGGAGGTGACACAGCCTTTACCATCACAACTGCTTTATAAATGATCACCATCAGGGTATGATCAAAGGAAACATCATTACTTAAGTATTGATGGTAGATCAGTATCAACTGATCTTAGAGAATGCTCCCTCTCCCCCCAATGCTGGGTTTGTGTGTGTGTGTGTGTGTGTGTGTGTGTGTGTGTGTGTGTGTGTGTGTGTGTCTGGTGGGGGCAGAGGCCCACTCTGGGTCCCCTCTCCTGCTCTGACTCTGGTTTTGGTCTCACTCTCTCCTTTCCCAGGCTATGGCAACGTGGCTCCCAAGACCCCTGCAGGCCGCCTCTTCTGCGTCTTCTATGGTCTGTTTGGGGTGCCGCTCTGCCTGACGTGGATCAGTGCCCTGGGCAAGTTCTTCGGGGGCCGTGCCAAGAGACTGGGCCAGTTCCTCACCAAGAGAGGCGTGAGCTTGGTATGTCCCCAACCCTGGGTTCTGAGCAGAGATGGAGGATCGTGACAGGACAGATGAGGAAAGGAAGAGAAGGCTCCAAGCATTGGGCAGGGGTGTTAGGACAGATGGCAAGAGGACAGTTTCGGATCTGCTTGGGTCAGGCAGGGTGCCCAGCCTGCCTCTCCTCCAGCTGCCTCCCCAGCCCTCTGGGTGCCCCCTGCTGGGTTTCTTGAGCCTCCACTGTTGTCTGACTTGGCCTCCCACCTCCCTTTCAGCGGAAGGCTCAGATCACATGCACAGCCATCTTCATTGTGTGGGGCGTCCTGGTCCACCTGGTGATCCCACCCTTCGTGTTCATGGTGACCGAGGAGTGGGACTACATCGAAGGCCTCTACTACTCTTTCATCACCATCTCCACCATCGGCTTCGGTGACTTTGTGGCCGGTGAGTCCCTGCCCTTCCTCAGCCTCTCTGTCTTCTCCTTCTCTGCCTCTCTTCCAGTTTCAACACAGCAGACCTTTGTTGGGGGACCCCTGGTAGGCGTTCTGTGTTCTGGGTGCTTCTCTCACCCAGTGGGTTTCTCAACCCACCCTGCCAGTTGCAGGAGAAAACTGAGGCACAGAGGAACCACAGATGACTCTTTTCTCTAGTTCCTTTCTTGGGCACTGCTTTTCCCCTCTCCCTTCCTCTCTGTCCAGGCTTTTTTTTTTTGAGTCAGAATCTCACTCTGTCACCCAGGCTGGACTGCAGTGGCATGATCACAGTAGCCTCTACCTCCTAACCCAGGCAATCCTTCTGCCTCAGCCTTCCAAGTAGCTGGAACTACCAGTGTGTGCTACCACACCCAACTAATCTTTTGAATTATTAGAGACAAGTTCTTGCAGAGTTACCCAGGCTGTGCTTGAACCCCTGGGCTTAGGCAGTCCTCTTGCCTCTGCCTCCCAAAGTGTTGGGATTATAGGCATGAGCCACAGCACCCAGCCTCTGTCTATTCAGTCTCAGATCTCCTTCTCCTCTGTTTTTCCCTGACTCTGAGCTTGGGTTCATGGCAGGCCTGGAGTAGAGCCCTCTGCCTGCTGAGTTTATGCCTGCCAGTGCCCCCTCCCTGCCCTTTCCTGGTCCCAGCAGCCTTCCATTGTTCACTAGAGCCAAGGGAGCTGTCCTGGAGGCGTGGCTCAGGCCTGGAACTTTGCTCTTGCCACAGGCAGTCTGAAGACAAGGGAGGCCTTCTCCCAAGCTGCCCTGCCCTCCTACTCTTCCCTACATAATCCAGGAAGATGATAAGATTCTTTGGCCCCATTGTGCAGGCCCATTGTGTGAAGACCTGCAACCAACTGGCCCCACCACTCACTGCCTGTGGCCTCTACAGCATCTTGGTTCTTAATCTTCTTAACACCCTGTTTGGCCCTTTTGACCCAGTGCCCTGGTGACTTCAGCCTTTGCTCCAGGGGCCTATGTTCTCTACCCTCTCCCCCCTGCCCAGAGGACAAGGGGAGGTTATTAGCCTTGTGCCCTTGTATGTGGTATCTGGGGGGGGGGGCTGAGTGGGTGGGAGGAAGAGGAAAGAGGCACAAACATTCCACTGACTCTGGGCCTGCTGTCTTGGGAGGTAAATTTAGATGAAGGCACAACCCTGCCATTGTGTAGCCCTTGGGCCCAGAAGAGGCAGAGGAGAAGCCTCTTGGGGAAGTGCAGCATTGTATTTAATCATACTTTCTCAGCTCCAGGAAGACACCAAACCCCAGCCTCAGTATTTGCGTTTGTAAAATTGGTAAAAATAGTGGTGCACAGGATGGTAGAAAATAAATTACTGTTCATGAGTGCTGAGGGTAGAGCCCGGCTCTGTTAGTGTGTGCCCTCATTATTGTCATCCTCAGACTGCGTGTGATCAAGAGCCTTGAGCAAGATTGACAGCACCCCTCAGACAGACCACCTGCTGTCCAAGGGGGCAGGCACAGCCCTTGCCTTGGGCGAACCTCTCATCTGATGAGGGAGGTAGCCCCTTCCTCCAGTCCCTTCTCTAAGTCACTTCTGTATCCAATAGGAAGGTGGAGATAGGATGCAAATATGCAGATCAATATTCCTGTAAATGGGAAGTTATAAGAGAAATTTCAAATAATTCTGGAGGGTAGGAGAACCATCAGAGCTGTAGAGAGGACCCTTGGAGGGCTCCCTGGAGAAAGAGGGGACAGAGCCAGCCCTCCAGGACAATCTGAAAGAGACAGAAACAGAAGTCAGGGACGCAGACCAGTATTTGAAGGAGAATGAAGATGGTTGTATTGGAATATTTCCTGCCAGCATCAATGCCTCTCGACCAGACCACCAGCCTCATTCATGTTAAGCCAGTGAGTCCGTCCCCAGCTCTGAGGATGCCAGCAGCCCCCTTGCATAATATCCATCCATCAGTCTTTAACTGAACTGCAGCAGACACAGGATAGCTGGGGATGGTAGAATAACTAACTGACAGACAAATGCTCATGAACTGCTTATTGACCTGTGTGTTGTTACCTTGTCAGTCCTCCACAGCTCCTTTAACTTCTCTCAAAAAGTCATTGCCCTCTTTTTTTTTTTTGAGTGAAGGTCTTACTCTCTCACCTAGGTTGGAGTTCAGTGGCATAATCAAGGCTTATCACAGCCTTGATCTCCTAGGCTCAGCTGATCCTTCCTCCTCAGCCTCCCCAGTAGCTGGGACTGCAGGCATGCATCACCACACCTGGCTAATTTTTTGTTGAGATGAGGTTTTGCTATGTTGTCCAGGCTGGTCTCGCATTCCTGGGCTCCTGCAATCCCCCCACCTCGGCCTCCTAAAGTGCTAGGATTACAGATGTGAGCCACTGCACCTGGCCAGCCCTGACTTTTTGTAGTTGAGGATACTGAGGATCAAAGACAGGCTGGAGACTGGGATGACAGTCATGAGTGATGGGCCCAGGCCCTTTGGGCAGATGGGGTGGTACAAGGTCTAGAACAGGTCCCTGTCTCCCACTGTGCCCCCTCTTGTGCTCTGCTCAGATAACACAGCGTTGGTCAATGCACGTTCCGTTCCTGGTCCATGCAGACCCTTCCTGACCTCTGGGCTTCCTGTCCTCAGGTGTGAACCCCAGCGCCAACTACCATGCCCTGTACCGCTACTTTGTGGAGCTCTGGATCTACCTGGGACTGGCCTGGCTGTCCCTCTTTGTTAACTGGAAGGTGAGCATGTTTGTGGAAGTCCACAAGGCCATTAAGAAGCGGCGGAGGCGGCGGAAGGAGTCCTTCGAGAGCTCCCCGCACTCCAGGACGGCCCTGCAGATGACAGGGAGTGCGGCCTCTAAGGATGTCAACATCTTCAGCTTTCTGTCCAAGAAGGAGGAGACCTACAATGACCTCATCAAGCAGATTGGGAAGAAGGCCATGAAGACGAGCGGGGGTGGGGAGAGGGGCCCAGGGCTAGGGCCTCAAGGTGGCGGACTGCCAGCTCTGCCCCCTTCCCTGGCACCCCTGGTGGTCTACTCCAAGAATCGGGTGCCCAGCTTGGAAGAGGTGTCACAGACACTGAGGAGCAAAGGCCACGTGTCAAGGCCCCCTGGTGAGAAGGACAGAGCACAGGAGCCTGAGGTTGGCTCACCTGCCCCTGAAGTGTTCATTAACCAGCTGGACCGCATCAGCGAGGAGGGCGAGCCATGGGATTCCCAGGACTACCACCCGCTTATCTTCCAGAACGCCAATATCACCTTCGTCAACGAGGAGGCCGGCCTCTCGGACGAGGAGACCTCCAAGTCCTCACTGGAGGACAACCTGGCTGGGGAAGAGAGCCCCCAGCAGGGGCCGGAAGCCGAGGCGCCTCTGAACATGGGCGAGTTTCCCTCCTCGGATGAGTCCACCTTCACCAGCACCGAGTCAGAGCTCTCAGTGCCTTACGAACAGCTGATAAATGAGTACAATAAAGCCAACAGCCCCAAAGGCACGTGAGGCAGGCCGGCTCCCCACCCCACCATTGAGGGCTTCTTCCCCCTCACCCTGGGACGTCCTGTGATGGCTGGACTCCTAGCCCCTGGTGGGGGACAGCCCTGGAACTGGGGGTGGGGAGCCAGGGACTTTCCTTACCTTCCATCCCCCCCAGCTAGATGCATGCCCGGGATGGGGCCTCTGTTCTCCAGCTGAACGGTACCCTGGCTGTGGGGGAGTGTCTGTCCTGAGCTGGGCTGGTGTATTTGACGATTAGAAGACATGTGAGCTGGCAGGACTGACTGACCCCGAGGAGGCCTGGCCTGAGTGGGTCTACGCCCCATTGTTTGGTTGAATGTCACACGGTTCTCTGAGGCCTGGAGCCTCCGCTATTTGAGTTCACCAGTGTTACTGAGCAATTTCTATGTCCTGGCACTGAGCTAGACATTTGGGCAGGGACCTCTGGGGAGGCACCACTGGGATGTGGGGGCCGGACATTTTAGTACCTCACTGGGGACAGGACCCACCCCCCATTTCACCTGTGGGGTTGTTTGTTGGGCACCTATTGCAATCCACAGTAGTAGGGCAGGGGCTATGGGAGGTGGGTTGGGGGGAAGGGAGTGAATGGATGATAGTAGGGGCTGGAATAAGTCCCATGTGGCCTAGGGTCCTAAACCCTTTTTATTGGTCTATTCAGGCCCAGCTCAGAGAGCCCTGTTCACTGTCTGAGACCAAGTGGTGGCAGGCACAAGTTTTTCTGTGGGACCCAGAGTGGTAGGAGGGAGGGTGGCAGAGCATGGGCTTCTGGAAGCTGACTCCAGGGGCTGGTAACCAGGGAGCTTTAAGAGTGAAGCTCAGCCGGGCTCGGTGGCTCAGCCTGTAATCCCGTGCCTTTGGGAGGCTGAGGTGAGTGGATTGCCTGAGCCCGCGGGTTCGAGACCCGCCTGGGCAACTTGGCGAGACCTCATCTCTACAATAAATCAAAAATCAGCCGGGCGTGGTAGCGCACACCTGTAATTCCGGCTACTCGGAAGGCTGAGGCAGAAGGATCGCTGGAGCCCAGTAGGTCGAGGCTGCGGTGGCCGGGAGCAGCCACTGCACTCCAGTCTGGGTGACAGAGTGAGACTCCAACTCAAAAAAAAAAAGAGTGAAGCTCAGCTCTGGCAAACTCTGCCCTCGCCCTCCTGCTCTCTGGAAGAGTGCACACCCCACCTCTGGCCTGAGGACCCACACTTCCCACCCTGCTGTCCCATTTTTTGGGCCCAGACCAAGGACCTCACTGTCCCCTTGGGCTGGGCAGGGTGAGGCCAAATTGCTCTAGGCAATGGGCAAATGGGCAATGGCCAAGTATGTGAATGGAGCTCCTCTCTCCGGTTACTGTCTGGTGTGTGTGTGCGTGCATGTGTGCCTGCGTGTACGTGTGAGTGTGTGTGTATATGTAAGAAAGGAGGGAATTTGGGCTGAGAAACAAAAGATAATGTGAAACTGCTCGTGGACTCTTTCTGGTGAGGGTTGGGCAGAACTTGCTGCTCCAAAGTTCTAGGGTTCTCCGTGTTCCTCACCCTTAGGGCCGGCCCACTGTGCCTGAATGTTTTTGTTATTTTTTTTAAACGAACTGCTGTTTTTATATACCTGGAATTTGTCATTGGCCTCAGACCCCGTGGTTAAAGAGCAGAGTCCCAAGGATTGGGATGTCCAGTGTCTGCCCTTTTGCCCCCACCAACTCTGTCGGGCTTCTTCGTGACCTCAGCCCAGGCCATGATGTCAAGAGCCATGTCCCTAAGGACAGGTGGGGAAGGGACACTGATGGGCAGGTGAGCAGAGGTGGGGAGGGGCATCCGTCGCAGGTGACTGGGTACCGGGTGGGAGGCAGGTGACACATCCTCTCAGTCCTCCTCACTTTGCACCCTCTGCCCTCTACTGTGAGGCAGTGGGGCCAGCACCCACCTCCCCAACATGTGAAGACGGTGACAGGCATGTGTCCACACCCTACTCCTGCTCTAGCCTCCTACAGAGGCTGCTCGCCTGGTGGGGGTGGGAAGGGGAGCAGCCTTGTATTTTTCTGTGAAATGTCTTAATGAACTTGTCTTGTTGCTGGCTATCCTGGAATCACACACACTGTACGTACATACTGGCAATGATGCCAAATGTAATTTATTTTAACATTTTTACAATAAAACATGAGATGGATAGGTTGGCTTGATGTGTGTTGTGTGGGGGGGTGGGGTGGCCAGGGGACTGACTTGTGGCCTCTGAGAAACAAGAGGCCCTAGGAGCGGCCACAGAGGGCAGGAGGGCCTCAGGACAGACAAACACAAGAGGACTGGGCTGGTATGGAAGAGAATGAAGAGGGTAAGGACAGGCAGTCCTCTTGGGGGTGGCTAAGAGAGAAAGGAGCCCCAAGAATCAGGAAGGAGTCAAAGGAGCAAGGGGAGAGAGGTAGGGGTGATAATGGCAAATGCATGTCACCAGTTTGCCAGCCACTAAATATTTTTATTTATTTATTTATTTTGAGATAGGGAGGGTCTCGCTCTGTCATCCAGGCTGGAGTATTTTGATCACGGCTCACTGCAGCCTCGAACTCCTGGGCTCAAGTGATCCTCCTGCCTCCGCCTCCCAAGTAGCTAGGACTATAGGCATGCCACCATCATTGTCCTGTTAATTTATTTTATTTTTTTGTAGAGACAGTCTCGCTGTGTTGTCTAGGCTGGTCTCTAACTCCTGGCTTAAGCAATCCTCCCTCAGCCTCCCAAACTGTTGGCATTACAGCCATGAGCCACCACACTTGGCCATGGCACTATATGTTTCACACTCAATAATACATGAATGAACTCATCTGACCTTGTAACAGCCCTAAAAAGTGGGTATTGCATCTCCATCTTATAGATAAGGAAAAAGGCACAGAGAGGTTATCATGCAAAATCTCAGTTAAAATGGTGAGCCTAGATTCAAACTTAGGCAGCCCGATTCCTATCTGTCCCCTCAGCCTTCATGGTGAGATGAAAAAGATAGCCTATGGACATCTCTGGAAAGGTCTCCTGTCTCCAGGTACGTGGACCAGAGAATTTCAGAGAAGACCTTCTGCACTCAAGGGGTGGGCAGGAGGTACACAGCCTGGGCGTGAGCACTGTGGACTGGAAAGAATGCAGAAGAAGAATGAACCCTAGCTCAGCTGGGCCTCAGTCTCTATCTGTCTAAAGGGAGGCTTTGTCAGGCTTCCACAGTTTTGGAACTGGCCCCTTCTATGGCAACTTCAGGGCCCCCCCGCAAACACCACTCAGACCAATTTTTGTGTTTGTTGGGGGGAAAGAATAGAAGGTTTTATCATCCTAGGAATGACCCACATTTTTCATGGGGCATGGATGTGTTTACAAAGAATCACAAGTATTTACCAGCCAATTCTGTAACCACTAGATACCATCCCTCCCTTTCTGCCAACACGTCATATCTCCCCCCGGTCCCCCTCCCCTCATTTCCACAAACACAGGTCCAACCTTCTCTGGTTTGGCTTGAGTCCCTGTTAGCCTCAAGGTAACAGCTTCATAACACTGTAAGCAGTACCTCTATTAAGCACTTGGCCATTTCACAAAGCCCATGGACACACAGCTCCAAGTACCCCCACAGCCCAGATTATTGGGGCCCTTCCGCTGTTGAGATGAGGGCCTGGAGAGCACGACTTTCTCAGGGCACATAGTTGGACTGAGGCCCCACTTCGCAGAATTGTGCTCCTGGAGGATAAAGCACAAGCTGAAGACTGGGTGGAGGTGTGGTCTTGGTGGGTCACTGTGGTCAAGATGAGTCGGGAGCTTACCGAATAAAAGTGGGAAGTGGGGGGAGGCAGCAGCTGGAGCAAGTCCCTGAGGGGTCATGAGCAGAGCAGGGGTGCCATACGGGGGGAGCTGTAGGGTGCATGGGGTGAAGGAGGGAGGGGAACTGGCCCCAAGTGGATGGCAAGTCACTGGAGAGAACTCAGGCAAGGAAGTCCTCCTGCAGAAATCACTGATGTATTTGGAACCTGAGTCAGAGAGAACTGGATAAGTGAATGTTATAGACCACTGGGATCCCTACGTGGAGACAACACCCCTAATCCCATGGGCCTCGTTCCCAGCAGTCCCCCCGTTCCCGGTCCTCCTCCTGACCTCCGGAAGCCTTCGCAGTAAACTAGCACATGCTCTCCTCCAGCACCACCTGGGCTCTGCATCATGTGTGTCACTGACATTTATTGAGTACCTACTGTGGACCAGGCTCTGTTTTGGGCACTTGGAATGCTCCAGTGTATAAATGGGCAAAACACCACCTGCATTCACGGAGCTGATAGTCTCTCATCTGTTAAGCTGTCCTTTCGGCCATTTTTCATGGTCTGTGCTTATTGCTTATTTATGTCCTCCAAGACTCTTTACATTTTTTTTTTTTTTTTTTTTGAGTCAGGGTCTCACTCTGTCGCCTGGCTAGAGTGCAGTGGCACGATCACGACAATCACAGCTCAAGCAGCCTCGACTTCTGGGCTCAGGCAATACTTCCACCTCAGTATCCCAAGAAGCTGGGACAACAGGCACACACCACCACACCTGACTGATTTTTTTTTTTTAAAGAGACACAAGGTTTTGCTATGTTGCCCAGGCTGGTCTCAAACTCTTGGACTCTACCAATTAACCCTCCTCGGCTTCCCAAAGTTCTAGGATTACAGGCATGAGCCACCTTCTTGTTCTTTTTTTTTTTCTCTTTATATCTAATAGGCATTATTATTATTATTATTATTATTATTATTATTTTATTTTATTTTATTTTTTTGAGTTGGAGTCTCACTCTGTTGCCCAGACTGGAGTGCAGTGGCCGCTTCCGGCCACCGCAGCCTCGACCTGCTGGGCTCCGGCGATCCTTCCGCCTCAGCCTTCCAAGTAGCTGGAACTACAGGCGCCCACTACCACGCCCAGCTAATTTTTTTGATTTATTGTAGAGATGAGGTCTCGCCTGCCCAGGCGGGTCTCGAACCCGCGGGCTCAGGCAATCCACTCACCTCAGCCTCCCAAAGGCGCGGGATTACAGGCTGAGCCACCGAGCCCAGCTAGGCATTATTATTAATCTTATTTTACAAATGAGGAAATTGAGGCAAATATAAGATTTTCCCCAAGTTCCAACAATTATTAAGTGGCAGCAAAACAGCTTCCCTAACTTGCATTCCCATTCCTCATCTCCTTCTGGAAGCTTCTGATCTGATAGGGAAGACAATCTCAGA